ACCTGTATCCGTAGCAATTAATTGGGGGATTGAAGCTGTTGTGCAAGGATAGTATAGATTAAATAGTTTCTGCATTTTATTTTGTAGCAGCAACAAATTGCTGCTTGCTTGTGTATAGACAGTTACTGGATAAATAAATTCACCTTTTATCCTAAAAGAGAAAATACAACATAATATCCAGAGTAAAGACAGAACCACCAAATAAGACCTCTAAAACTAGAAAAATACCTTCCCATATTTCTGACTTCTTGCTTGGAGTTGTAAACTGCCATCATTCTGGAAATTTCGAACCTCAGCCTGATAACAAGGGAATTATTTAGAAGATTGAATGTTCTGTTTTCTATTTCCATTTCACACTGCACATTTTCATATGTGAAAACATTTAGAAAATAAATGAACCATGTTAGTGGACTCACACAGACAACATCATTCTCTTCAAAAACACTGCGCATATTGAGTTCATCCAAAGCAGTTCGCCGCCTCTACTAAAACAACAAGAACATAAGGCTAAGCATATACTATCAGAAGGACAAGCAAAAGATAAATAAACAACTCATAGGTCAACCAGGCATGCAATCAATCTTAAAGCAACTAAAATTAAGAGTAGTTTTTGTTCAAGCCATAGTGTTAATTAATTTATACTCGTATAAAAAGCAACTCCTTAGTAATTTATGAGAGAGCTTCCTTGAATCAAAAGACAAATACAATCATGCCCCAGAATTATCATTAAGCTCAAATCCATGAATCTACTAAGGATATACTCTCACCTTGATTAATACCACGCGTATGAACAACAATTGGGATTGCTTACCCAATAACAAATACTTATTTAAAAGAATGCAAAAAGGGCATCTTTTACCTGAATACCATCAGGCATGTTCATTGAAGAAAGCATTAAAATTGCATCTTGGCTGAAATTTATCTCTAATCTCCAACGCTTTGGAGCAACCTGAAAATGAATGAATTAGAATGAACAGATTAAAATTTTTTTTTTTTTTTTGAGGAATCAGAAGATGAAGAAGATGGGTCCTCTCTAACCTCAACCACCCGTCCAATTACGATATCACCAACCTCTGGCTTGTACTTGGCTCGTAAGGACCGGACATAGACCAACTTGTTCACTCGCTCCACCACTCCGCACACGGTGGCCACCAATTCGCCATCGAGTTCAGTGGTTCCATGTCCCCTTCAAGAAAGGTATACAAGAGAGATGAATAGAAGGGAGAGTAAAGGCATCATGGGGTAATGAAAAAATTGATTCTTTGGTACTTGAGAAAGGCGTCCTCGTAGTTGACGGGAATTGAATCGGCAATGATGACAGAGGCATCAGAATTCGCCTTCGCCGACAAAGACTCGAGCTTTTCAAGTGCCCTTTGCAGTCTTACTCTTTGCGTTTGGGTTAACGGCAGCTGCAACCCTCTCATTCTCTCCCAAATATACACCGTCGCAGCAGCTAATAGAAGTAAAGTTCGTCACTAATCGATGTACTTAAGCAAAAACTTTGTTGAAGTAGAAGTAAAGGTCGTCACTCACCGATATACTTCTGCACTTAATCTTCGTACCCGCAAACTATGGGGCTGGAATGTCGGAAAATTTCTCGACGGCTTCCGTCTGTAGCATGCCGGGGATTGGAGAGGCAATTGCAGATATGCTCTGAAGAAAGAAGGACGCGAGAGGAGTTGAGGGTTTGTGAAGTCTGGTTGGGCTAAAGTGTGTCTTGGGCCCAAGCCCGAATCTAACCTAATGAAAAAAAGAGGGGTGGGGGGTTGTGAATTGCAATTGCATCATGACCTTATCCTCAAGTACAAATTGAGTTTGCTCCTAAGCCCCTACTCTTTTCCTTTTTTCCAGAATTATTTTGCTAGTATGGATGTAAATGGAGTACTCACTCGTGCTCAACTCGATTCAAACCCAAACTAAATAAAGTTTCAAGGTTGAGCAGTTGAAAGCTTATTAATGTACATCTTGAGTCAACTTATTTACATCTCCATTTTTATGTGCAACCTCCTTTACTTAGAGTAAGAGATCTTTGTTATAATAACACTAAGACGAGAAGTAAAAAATAATTGTTTTTTATTGTATAAAATAAAAAGAAAAAACTTTGTGTCTCTTATTTTTAGAGACATTTTAGTAGTTAAGAGTTTAAATAACTTTATATTACAAATTTTAAATTTAAATCTTATAATGAGTATAAAAAAAAGTTTAAAAAATTATATTTTTTATAATATAACATATCATTTCTCGTTTGACATATTTTGACAAAGAAAAAGTATATTTACGCACCTGATCTTTCGAGTCAACTGACACCCAACCAATTTAAGATGCATTCCCCTCTTTTGTGGGCGGGATTCTAATTCACCCCATAACAACTTGTTCAAGACAAAAAAAAGAAAAGGTAAATTTACTTTCTCGTAGTAGAAAAGCCCAAAACAAGCATAGGGATGAGCCCAGGTCACCAACAAGCATTTCAATATTTCATTGTAATGGACCTAACGTAAGCCACTCAGCCCACGCAACTACCGTCAGGCTCTGGATGGGTTCCACTGGACAACTACAGGCTACAGCCAACGAAAGGAACGGCATTTTCAGAAACCCTAATCTAAAACCCTAGCCCATCCCGTCTGCTATATAAGGCTTCTCTTTCCATGGCTCCCTCTCATCTCTCCATTCCCACGGCTACGGCTCCGTTCCATTACATTCTCTTCCATCCTTCTATGCTTCTCTTACGATTTTCTGTTTGTTTTATGTTCTTACATTAGGTGGCCGATGATGATAAATCCAAAGGCTTGTTTCTCAAAACATTCGCAGTGGCCGCCTAAGAGCTTTCGCCTTCGCCGGGCTTGAGAGCTAGTGCTGCTTTCCTTGGATGTCTGAGGCTTCAAAATTCAATATTTTGTGCGTTTTTTATTTGTTTGGGTACGATTTCAGCACTTAAATTGATTACAATATTATGGGTCGATTTTTTTTAAAAAAAATAATTAGATCGATTTGAATCTTATATGAATGCTATTGTTGGTTTTGGGACTATACGTCTGCCCCTTTAGCAGGATCTCAGAGTGCTTTAGGGATGAACAAGTCCCTAATATGTATTCCATCCGATTCACTTTGTCAGCTATCTTTTTGGCTTTTAGCTGATCATTACAGGATGGAAAATTCAATGAAAATTATGTGAAATACTGTCTTTTCAATGGTGCAGGCTGCAACTTTTCTTTTTTCTTTTTCTTTTTCTTTTTTGTGTTTTACTCTGATTTTAATGAAAAATTTTTTGGGCTGTTGTTGATGATGACAAATCTAAAGGCTTGTTTCTCAAAACATTCGCAGTGGCCGCCTAAGAGCTTTCGCCTTAGCCAGGCTTGAGAGCTTGTGCTGCTTCAATCCTTCCTTGGATGTCTGAAACATTAAGAAATTTCATTTTTTTTCGCTTTTATGTTTTGTTGGATTTGAACTGGTTCTCCAAATATTGTGTTGCACTTCCTTTGCTCATGTCAATGTTATTTTATTTTTTGAATTAATCTATATCTTTTTCTATCCTTTTGATTATTGATGAATAAGGCTTATTGATTGTGGACTTTGTCTTGAATTTATTAAAATAATTAATTGTTTTTGAAATTCTAAATTGATGTTTCATTGTTTTGCCCAAATGATCAGGTTATGTTTTTCAGTACAGAGTACAATTTTACATTGTACTGGCTACAATTTGTTTTTGTTTTTTAATGTATAGTACATATTATAATTAAAGAATAGTATACAATGCAATTGCCATCTATCTGATTAGATGTCCTGACATTGAAGGTTCTGTGTCTTCAGTCTTTAGGTCTTTATGCAATTTGCGATGGGTTGTTGAATGGACTTGAGTAAATTGTACAAGGGTCATTACCTTTGTGCATCCAGAATTACATGTTACATGCAAATGTATCTATATGGTGCTTTCAAATGGCTTTTCTTGAACGGCTCTTATGTTTCTGCAGAGCAGAGACGTTGAAAAGAAAAACACTGTTGTGGATTAAAGATCTATGTTCTGAGTATGTTTGTGTTGTAAGCAGAAGCCATCACTCAGAATTTAGTGTTTGTATTGGATTCAGAAGAAAATTTATATTGCCATTTAAGTTTCTATGTAATCTTAACTAAGATGGGTTTTATTTAACTCTTGTTCTTTTTCCCTAGTATGGAATTTACATTTTTAATAAATTGACCATCTAGAGGTTATGTTAAGATTAATTGTACTGGTGAAGGCCTTGAACTGCTATGATTGAGTCATCCTGGAATTAGAAACACCTCACAGCTCTTCAATTCTTCAAAAACAGCATTGGTTAGTTTGTGAAATTGATTGTCAATATCTAAGTGATGATATTGTTTATATTATTCCTTTTTTTTTTCTTCTTTTAACTTTGACTCATTTTTTCAGTGATATTTGGTCAATTAGTTTATGACTCTTTGGTTTAGTAATTTTGATAAACCTATAATTGATTGTCAAATATCTAAATGATGATATTGTTTATATTATAAATAACAAATAGTATATGACCAAACTAAATAGAACCCATGTATCCTCAACTTAATCAAGCAAACAAGTAGCTACAAACAACCATTTTGAAATTGTTAAACGCTTAAACCAGGCAGGGTATGCATCAAAAAGTCTCAAAAATATCATTATTGGGGAAATTTCCTAACAGCAATTAAAAGAGAAGAAAGCCTCATTTACACTTCTCTCCATTTTTATTAAAATGTATTACTTGTCCTTTTTTCATAACACTAATATTTAGCGTATCAAAAAATAACACTAATATTTAGTAATTGATACCCTAACCCAATGGTATACAGTCATTTTTTTAAAATAAATTTTTTTATTAAAAAAATCAGTTATTGTAGTAGTTTATACATAATTGATTTTTACCATTTATATATAAATTATGGAAATTTTTGTTATATAAAATAAATATAAAAAATTATCAAAAAATAAAAATTATGTAGACAAAAGTGAAAATAGGATGTCTTGGTTTATGAAGATTTTTTTGTGAAATTATTTAAATGTTTCTAATGAATCTTTCTTGATAAGAGTTACATAAATTTATTATTATTATTTTAGATATTTTAGTTATAAGTAAAGGCTGATTTGCTACAACCCCAATTATGTAATAAGTTCGAGATTAATTATTTAGTAATAGTTTAGGGTCTAGCCCTCAAAATGAAATTTATAATTGCCATAATTATAATATGGAAAATATGAAAAATGATTTAAAAAATTTTATATTATTTTTAAATATAATTTAATATATTATTTAAATAATTAATTTTTATTTATTTATTTATAACTTGTAACATTAAATTCATCTGCTTATTTAATAATATAAAAAACGACATAAAATAATTATCACTAATCATTACTTTATAGCCCGAATTTGTAGCAAATATCTAATGGTTAGTGTTTGGACTACTGTATGCAATGATAAATGTGTACAATTTGAATCGCAGAATAGTTTTATTATTATTATTACAAAAAATTTATTTTATACAGTGATTATATGTAATTTATTTTATAAAATTATTTAAATAATTTTAATTTTAATCTTATATTACCTTTTAAAAAATATTTAAATAATTTTATAAATTACACCATATGCAATTGTACTTATAAAACAGTTTTTGTTATTATTATTTTTATAAAATTACTCCAATAAAGTCACCGGAAAGTTGTCGTGAAGGAGGTTAAAAAACCGTCCACTAAACCGTTTCGTTGACAGGAAGCAGTCAACGGTGAGGAATTCCGTTTGAGCACTAGACCACGGCAGAATTTCAAGGGTTTTTTATCCACGACCCAAGAACGCGGTTTCACGGAGTGAGCCAAAGTACAGTTTCTCTGGTTCAAACGCTGCTTCTTTTCTTCTTCAGGAGTTCCTTCTTGGAGTCTGGTCTCCTAATCCAAAAAGAGAACAAGTTGATACAAGAATGAGGGCGATAACCCGCAATCTGAAGCATAGGTATGGAGGTGTTTTTGCTTCTGGGGTTTACATATCCGTGGCTGGATTGGTGGCAGTTGCTGGTTTTGTCCTTTCTATGATAAGAGATGGTAAATTGGGTAGTAAGAGAAAGAAAACTTCAGAGAAGTTGTGCTTAGTTCCTGGGTTGCAAAATCTGGGAAACAATTGTTTCTTGAATGTCATATTGCAGGTATACTCACATCCAGCAAATGGTTATTATATTGTTTCTTTGATTCCTCTTCTTTGAAAGTTTTAAGCTTTATTTGCTTGCTCGGTAAAAGGAGAAAATTAACAAAATGGAGATCATATTAATGCTTGGGGATTCAAGATTTGGTTTTTCTTCTTTATTAAATTTTCTTTACAAGTGTATGTCCTTAAAAAAAAAAAAACTATTAAGGTGACATGCCCTTCTTCTTGGGTTTCTGAATTTGCATTATTTCAGGCTCTTGCTAGTTGTTCCTATTTCCAGTCTTTTCTCCAGAAGATTATGGAGGAATATGAGACGTTGCTGGTTGAGGAACAGGGAGAAAGCTTGCCTCTTGCATTTGCCTTGGCTGCTTTGTTGGAAGGTAAACATGAAAACTATGTAAACTCCTTCCCTTCGGTTGTGTTCTATTGTCAATATGATAGTTACTTGAAATGTACTCTATTTTGTGTTTTCTTGTTTTGTTTTATTTTACAGTCATTATAAAAAATTTGAATAATAATGATCTATGTCATAAAAGTTTAGTTTAATTGCTGGCTCACTATAGACATTAAATCACTTATATATTCTTCTGACTCTTCTAACTTATAGGTCAACTTTATTTGATTACTTTTGCCCGTTGCCAAGTTCTCTGGCACTTTAGTTCCCTTTAATTGTTTCTGTAGACATTGAAGTTTCATTGAAAATATATGGATTGGGAACATAGTGGACTTAGTTTATATGACTTGGATGATGAATGCTCTATTTCTGCAGAATTAGGGGTAGTTGCTGACCGAAGAGTTGTACTGAGCCCACATAAAGTGATGCTTGCATTGACACTTTATATTCAAAATTTCAATTTAACCAGCCAGCAGGTGCAATTGTGTATTTGCAATATCTGAACAACTGATTTATTGTGATTGAGTGTGGAATTGATATCTTGGGTACCATGTAGGATGCAGATGAAGCATTTTTTCATCTTTGGTCCTCTTTAAGAGGAGAATTTTCAGATGCCTATCCTTCAAATCAAAGTACCTTAGCAGATGTGTTGGCTTCCTCTACTTGTAGAATTCTCACTTATTGGAGGGAGGGTCAGAGTGAGCAGGAAAGATGGCAACAACATTTACTAGGGCCATTTGATGGCATTATTTCTAGCATTTTAATTTGTCAGACCTGTTCATCTCAGGTTCATTTTCCTGCATACCTGATACAACACATTTTTGCAATGAGATATTTAACTAGATATCTGTCTGCATTTTCTTTTGCTTGTGCCTGCTATGCCTAGTGCCTATTCTCTTTTTGAATGTGTTTAAGTAGATAGAACACTGATTATGAAAAGTAAAATCAAACTAATTGTGAACTTTTTCTGATCTAGCTTTTTTCCCCTTAATATTTGTCTCAAATTTGTTTGTTTATTCTGCAGATTTCATTGGAGTATCAATTTTTTCATAGCTTGCCTCTTTCTCCGGTGCTAAATAGTTGTTCTACCATTGTATGTTCATTAACTCCATTTATGATCATGTACGTTTAAGTATACTAATTGTTTTTTCTTCTCATTTTGGTCTCTAATACTCTATATGACTTTCTTTCTTTTTTTCTTTTTTCTTTTTTTAAAATTATTATTCATGGACATCTTTCTTTTTCTAAATTTTAATTTCTTCTATGAATAATTAGATGGCTGGATGTACCTTGGAGGACTGCCTGAAGCAGTTTGTTATTGCAGAAAAAATTGAGAACTACTTCTGTAGCCACTGTTGGCACATTGCTGCAATAAAGTATTTTTCTTTAATAGGAGTAAATGAGGTACTATACTTTTGGAGAACTCCATTTTGTATTCAATGTTAAATAATAAATTCTTTTATGACCTGAACTATGTAACCTCTAAATTTTTGGCCTATCAACTTCAAATCTTTTTATTATTTTTTTTCCTCCTTAGTACAAATTACTACTAATTTTTTGTTTCTTATGTGTTCGCCATTTGTGTGAATTTGGTCATTTTTTGCCCTGCACTGGTAGACATGCCAAAATTTATATTATTTAATTAATATCATTTTGAGCATATTGATATTGTATATATATATGCTTATTCAATTTTAGGCTTGTGCCTTGTGGATTTTAGTCATTTTAAACCTCTGTTTGTATTGTTCATTGTTAGCTGTGGCCCTTTAACAGTTGTAGAATGAAGTTTCTTGATTCTGCTCTTACAATCTGATTCTGACTTCTGAAAAGAACCAATCTGTGGTAGCTAGAGTCCAGATCTATGTTCTTAAAAAATCTTTGCATACTAAAGAGGCCCCAGCAATTGGTTTTTTCCCCACTTATGTTTTCATTTTAATTATGATCTTGTTGGTTCCTGCCCTTCAGTCATGGTAACGCATTCCCCATGAATTAATTGGCAATAAGTGGAAATCCAAATTGAATGTAAGGTGATAAGAAACCCCAAACTAGAGTCATAAACAACAAATTGAGCAACAAACAACTTGGGTGTTAGTTCGAAGTTAATATGTCTAACATAGACAGATTGTTGATCAATGGATAGGATAGCCCATCTTGAATACATAGGTCCAGAACAAACTGCACTGCATGCTGGAGTGACCTGGGATGATAATCCGCTTTAAGCAATCATGCTGGGTGCCTTTTGTTCACCTGGCTGCTTTTAATTTTTACTACTTCTCAGTTTAATTGATTCATGTCTTTTACTCGTATACTATTCTGACATTGTTTCTTAGGTGGAGATTGAGAGACTTAAGAGATGTGGCGAAGAAGATTCCTGTGACTGTCGAAATCTTCCAACTCTTGCTACACTGCCTTGGTCAAATAATTTTTCTAACACTAGAAAGCAGCTGAGTATTGCTCGTTGTCCAAAGGTATGAAATTGGTTGACCCTATTGCTTGCAGTAGTATCAGATTCACATTTTAAGTAGCAAAGGACATAGATAACCAATTTATTTGTTAAGAAGTGTTGGTGCCTACTTGCATCTTCTGTGTTTCTATCACACTCATTATCCTCATGTTATCTTACTCTTACAGATACTGTGCATTCATCTGAAGCGTGTATCAATGAGTATGTTTGGGGAACCAATCAAGCTTCAGGTAATTTCCTGCCTCGTTGATTCTATTGGCTAAGTTTAAGAAACACTGCTGTCTTTTATGACAAATATATTCCTGAAGTATTCATTTTTTTTTTTTCTCATATTTATGTGATAATAGCTTTGCCATAACACCAGGCTCCTATGGTAATGATTGCAGGGTCATATTATTTTTCCATTGATCTTAGACCTGTCACCTTTCATGGCCAGTTTGGTAAATGTAAATAAATTGGAAGGAGCACAAAGAGGGCAAGTGAAGCTGCAAGATCAAAATACAGGCCCTTATCTTAACCACCTTAATGTTCAATATAATACGATGATAAATGTTCGTGGATCTATGAGAGAGAATACTTCTAAAATATCAGCCGTGGATGAAATCAGATGCACTTCTTCCATAGAGTCTTCTACAGGCAAATCGAACATGGCTCAAACTGGTTGTTCTTCTGAGACCAAAAATATTGATATGCAACAACAAAATGATAAGGTTGGTTGAGTAATTGCTGATACAGATATGTGTGCTGGACATGAACTCATTGACAATATTGGATCATGAGTTAAATTATTTTTGGGTTTTTGTAACCTTTGCTTTAGGACACAGGTTAAGGGTGCATTTAATGCACCTTTTAGCCATTGAGTTATTTAGAAAAAATAAAATTTGACTTTAATTTTAGCAATTGACAAATTAAATTAATACACAAGGCATTGATACTACAATTAATATCAACTTTTTTGATTGTCTATATGAATTAATGACTTAGAAAGGTGTATTAATTACACCCTAGGTTAGAAAAATCCCTTATTTTTATTGGAATCTTTTTGTATTCCTATTGTGCATAGGTCACCTTGGTGTAGTCTTGGAATGTATAGTGATGACAAATTTTTCTGGGATGATGCAATCTCTATGGTTTTTAAACGATTTATCTTTAATTTCTTGGTCACAGGTAAGCCTGGCTCACAGGGTAGCCCCCTCAGAAACACAACTGTACCGACTTGTTTCAGTAGTAGAGCACTTTGGAAGAGCTGGAAGTGGGCATTACACTGTTTACAGAAGCGCGAAAGTTAACTTTGACATGGAAGATTCTAATGCAAACTTCGAGCCTGATCCTCTACGCTGGTTCTGCATTTCAGATTCTGAAGTATATAGTGTTTCAGATAATGATGTTCTCGCTGCTGATGCTAGCTTGCTTTTCTATGAGAGAATATAGAAGGCCACAAATGTGTCTTCTCCTATTGTTGTCATTTCATATATGTGAAACTAGTTCTAGCGTTATGATTTTGAATTTTAGAGATCAGTCACAGATCATGCATAGAAATGAATGTAGCCATATTTATTTCATGAAAGTTTGGGGAAAGAAATGTTACTCTGAAAATGTTATGAATCCATCCTATGTAAACATTTAAACTTTAAGGCAGCCATTGAGCTGCTAAAGCAAAAATGAAAAAAACACTTGGGTCCCCTTTTTTTTTTTTCTTTCTTCTTCTGTGTCTCACATGATTAATCTCATCTTAAAAGTATATCCATACATATCAACTTTGTGCATTGAAGGACATTAAAGACTTGAACACTGCATTATCTAAGATTTGTACAAGTGTATATGCATGATATTGCCATGATCATATATTTATAATCTATTTATACATAAATTTTATACACTATATTTATATAAAATTTTGACCATTCATCTTTTTATTTTTAATAATTGAGATTTATTCACTTTTTATTTTTTTATTTAAAAAATCATAATAAATCTCAATTATTAAAAGTGAAAAGATGAATAATTTAAATTTTATATAAGTGTAATATATAAGATTTATATACAAGTAAATCCTAATTCATTTATGAAAAATATGATATAAATATTAAACCTTACTAGAGTAATATAAGGACGCTAAAGATGAGTATCCATGTAGCTCTTTTGTTCTTAGAAGAAAAAAAAGAATAGCTAAATTTGCTTAATTGTGGATTGGAGGATTATTTTTGGCTGGAGGATAGTCCATCGTCACTAAGTCTTCATTTGCAGGAAACGTAACTTGAACTTTTACTGTACCCACAATTTCATGGTCCTTCTCACCTTCATTTCTTGCACCCACAGGCAAACTCCTAGCTGCAACCCAGAAAAAGGAAAAACAAATCTTATTTTTTTAAAAAGTGGCAAAAATAATGAAACCATATGAAAACTAACTCTCTTAAAATATCAGTAGTGTTATGTTATATATGAAACTATATGAAAAGATTAGTCCTAACTCTTTTAAATTTATGTCATTTTAATAAATATCCTTCAGTGATTCTAAAATTTATTAAAAAATACATACTTTAGTTTTCATTTATGTTGGTTAAATGATACATATATAGAGAGAGAGATTTTTTTTTCTAGAAATTAATGTGCAACCTGGAAACAAGAAGAAGAAAAAAAGGACTGTTGGGAAAAATCATGTTGGAAAAGTTGGAAACTTTCGCTTTTCTTTAAAAAAACATATCAAATCTTGAGGGAGTGCTTTTATCTCTTAAGAAGGTGGGAAGAAAAAACATTTTGGTTGTAGTTTGAATCTTTATATTTGTGATTTTAAATTTGAATCTTTATAAACATAAAAAGAAGTTTAGAAAATAATTTAAAAAAGAGTTCAAAAAAATTTCTTATCTCGTATTTCATGTTATATATCTCATGATCCGTATTTAAAAAAAAAAAAGTCAGAAGAAAAACTTCACAAAAAGAAAGTAAACATGCCAATTTCATTCTTTATTATACTGTTGAGGTGATTAATTACTAAATTAAACTTAACTTTCCTTTAAAAGTAGGAAAAACTTTCCCATACAAGACCACGCGTGAATGGAAAGAACATGAAAGATACAAAACTTACCTTCAGCAGAGATGGAGATGGAGATGGAGATGGACCAAAGGAGGAGAAAAGCCACGAGAAGAAGGCGCTTGCAAGGTACCATTGCAATCTTATACCCCTTTTTGCTTGAATCTCTTCACGTTGCCCTGCTTCATATATAGATGGATGAAAAATGGCACTTCCCATTTATATCGGCATATGCAGACACTTGTGGTGCAACCTATTTAATTAGCTGACGGTGATTTTTCCTTTGGGTTGCAGTATGTATTTGTCATTTGATTTAGAAAATCACAATCAATATGCCCCCTGCTGTCCCTGCACTGAAAGAGTAGCTGCCGATGGCAATGGCTCCAATGGTCCAATTATCAACATAAAGAACGTAGTTGTAATGCTAGCCATCGATGTGATTGCATTTCCCAGCAAGTCAACAACCCAGGTGGGGGAAACTCTGATCATAATACTTAATTTTCTTCGATGTATAAGTGCGGATTTAAAATTAATTAGAGAGTGACTAATATTAAGGTGCATATTAATTAATTGAAGAATATTTCATTTATCTAACAAAAAATAAAAGAGTCTTTCAATTTCTGTTGATGTAATTTCTTCAAGTCAATTCCAGCTTGGAAAAGTATTTTTGAGGCAGTTAATCTCACGTTTTACTCTCTATAATTTTATAATGTTACATTGTATAAAGTTACTAATTTATCAATTTATTTGAATTTCTCTCTCTTTCTCTCTTTTATGAGAATTAGATATTTCATTTGTATAAAGAAATATATAATTGTAATGCATGTAATATTATAATTTATGAAGAAAACATGCCAACCTAGTGATCCAGCAACTTAATGCAAACATTTTTTACTATAACAGGAGTTCGATCTCCCTCCTCACCCCTTCCCCGAACCACTTGCCATAATAAAAAAAAAGTATTATAATTTATAATTATGATATGTTTCGATATAATTAATTTTTTTATTTATAAATTTACTTATAATATTATATTATATTTATTTACATATAATAATTATATACCAAGCAATCATAACCTTATCATCGCCTAACAAGAAATAGAGTCCAAAGGAACATCCTTCTAGCATTTTAGATTTGTGGACCTAATTTCCAATTAATATATATGCAATAATGTAAAAGCATCGATCCAAGAGAATATAGGCCCCTCCCTAAACATCTCCACTAGCATTTTTTCGTAACATCATCCTGATCAACACTGTTCACAAACATCGTATGACTCCACCGTATAAAGAAAGAAATTGTACTTTCTACCATTGATTTTGGTTAAACCTTCAATTTGGTTCCTCAACTATTGTATTGACTCTTGATTTGGTTTCAAAATTAAATTTTTTTTTTTAATTTGATCATTACTGTTTACTACTAATTTGATCTCAAATTGATCCTTTCGTTAATAAATAACTGACATATCGATTGCTTAATATTAGAAAATCATTAATTAGCAATCATGTGTTACATTAATAATGATACACATCATCTATTTTTTACAAAAAAAAGCTAACTTGAGGTCAAATTGGTAAATATTAAAGATTAAATCAAGGATTTTTTTTTTTAATTTAGGGATTAAATCAAAAATTTATACAATAGTTAAGGGACCAAATTAAAAATTTAACCTAAATTTTTTGTTTTTTTTTTTTTTGTTTGAACGAATTACAACTTAAGAACCTTAAGATTGAGGGATGCACCTTTATGACAAAAATATAGTTATCGAATCACGAAACCCGAATACTAAAATTTTTTGTTATTAAATCGATTATTAAGTGAGAAAGAAATATATAGTGTAAAAAATCAATTATTAAGTGAGAAAGAAGTATATGGTGTAAAAATAAGGTAGACTCGTCCATTGTGTTTCATTGGTTACTTATCTTGTATTTTGGCTCACCTAGGCATTTTCACAGCAGTGGCAGAGCTACCTAGATCCGCGTCTAAACTTTTGAAAAATATTTATTTAGGTCCATCAATTTTTATTTTATTGTTTTTATCTTTAGATTTTAAATTTATTTCATATTATATTAGTTAATTTCTTAAGCAATATTTTATTATATGCATAGTAATTTAGAGTTTTCTAATAATTAGAGAATCTCCTTTTCCTGCTTTGAAATATTTTTATGTGTTTGTATATAATCTATATTAATAATTTTATTCTATGAATTAAAATATCTTTTATACCTTGATAACAAAGTTTTAGTTTTACCTTAAAAAAAGAAGAAGGAAAGAAAGAAAGTCCTCTTCTTCCAATCAACTCATCAATCATGGACAAAGCTATGCAGTGATCCATGAATGCAAGAAAACCCAACACCGGTGGGGGCTGAGTAGCGTTTTCAGATAAGTTGATTGACAATGTTATTTACAAAAATTCACGTGATCAGAACCCCAAGATCATCTACCAAAAGGGTCCACCTTGTCCCAACGCCAGCATACACATGAAATTGATTTGTATTTGCTAATTCAAGCTTCAGAAAAGACGTTTAAATTTTAATTATGTAAAAAAAAATAATTAAGCTACTAAAAAAGAGAGGAAAATCATCATCTATGAATACGATTTCCAGAAAGAATTGACAAAAATTAATCCTTAATTCACCTTAAGAATATCACTTGCCTAGCCGTCCCTACCTTTTCTAGCCTTAAACCTCTCCTCTTTTTCTTGTTTCCTCTTTTAGCTCTTTCTCTTGTTTTCCTCCATTACTTCAGCCTTCGCTTCTCTCCCTTCTCTAGTTAAGGTGAATGGCTAAGGGTTTTTTTTTTTTTTTTTACAATAAGGGATAATCATCTTTCATTTCTTATCTTATTTCATCCGCATAGTATACGACTTAAATTTAAGATTTTTTATTTTTTTTAAAAAAATTACCATTAAATTATTTAGGTCGTTGACATTAAATATATGAGTTATTTTTTCTTTTGTAGAAGTTGGTTTTTTCTTTTT